TGTTTTGACTAGGGTTGCAAAATTCTATAAATTCCCTGGTTTTCCCGAAATCCCGGTTGGAGGTTACCTGGAATGAGGTGGTAATAAGCAGGAAATACAGAATCCTCCAACCAGGATTTCTGGAAAACCGGGGAAAGTTCTTGGAATTTTGCAACCCTAGTTTTGACCCAAGGGAGAGAAGCAAGCCAGCGGAGGGATGTATGTGAGCCTAGCAGTTGCGTGTATTCATGGATGCCAAGGGAAGCCAGGTTTCCCCAGAAACAATTATGTATCTTTGGTCTCTCTGTGTTTCATAATTTTCCTTCCATTCGCAAGAGGCTGAATGTATCTCACCGAAGAAAGCATCCAAACGAGCGAAACAGCGCCCGTCTGTCTCAGTATGTGTTGCCCATCTACAGTGGGGAAAAAAAGTATTTAGTCAGCCACCAATTGTGCAAGTTCTCCCACTTAAAAAGATGAGAGGCCTGTAATTTTCATCATAGGTACACGTCAACTATGACAGACAAAATGAGGAAAAAAAATCCAGAAAATCACATTGTAGGATTTTTTATGAATTTATTTGCAAATTATGGTGGAAAATAAGTATTTGGTCAATAACAAAAGTTTCTCAATACTTTGTTATATACCCTTTGTTGGCAATGACACAGGTCAAACGTTTTCTGTAAGTCTTCACAAGGTTTTCACACACTGTTGCTGGTATTTTGGCCCATTCCTCCATGCAGATCTCCTCTAGAGCAGTGATGTTTTGGGGCTGTCGCTGGGCAACACAGACTTTCAACTCCCTCCAAAGATTTTCTATGGGGTTGAGATCTGGAGACTGGCTAGGCCACTCCAGGACCTTGAAATGCTTCTTACGAAGCCACTTCTTCGTTGCCCGGGCGGTGTGTTTGGGATCATTGTCATGCTGAAAGACCCAGCCACGTTTAATCTTCAATGCCCTTGCTGATGGAAGGAGGTTTTCACTCAAAATCTCACGATACATGGCCCCATTCATTCTTTCCTTTACACGGATCAGTCGTCCTGGTCCCTTTGCAGAAAAACAGCCCCAAAGCATGATGTTTCCACCCCCATGCTTCACAGTAGGTATGGTGTTCTTTGGATGCAACTCAGCATTCTTTGTCCTCCAAACACGACGAGTTGAGTTTGTACCAAAAAGTTATATTTTGGTTTCATCTGACCATATGACATTCTCCCAATCCTCTTCTGGATCATCCAAATGCACTCTAGCAAACTTCAGACGGGCCTGGACATGTACTGGCTTAAGCAGGGGGACACGTCTGGCACTACAGGATTTGAGTCCCTGGCGGCGTAGTGTGTTACTGATGGTAGGCTTTGTTACTTTGGTCCCAGCTCTCAGCAGGTCATTCACTAGGTCCCCCCGTGTGGTTCTGGGATTTTTGCTCACTGTTCTTGTGATCAGTTTGACCCCACAGGGTGAGATCTTGCGTGGAGCCCCAGATCGAGGGAGATTATCAGTGGTCTTGTATGTCTTCCATTTCCTAATAATTGCTCCCACAGTTGATTTCTTCAAACCAAGCTGTTTACCTATTGCAGATTCAGTCTTCCCAGCCTGGTGCAGGTCTACAATTTTGTTTATGGTGTCCTTTGACATCTCTTTGGTCTTGGCCATAGTGGAGTTTGGAGTGTGACTGTTTGAGGTTGTGGACAGGTGTCTTTTATACTGATAACAAGTTCAAACAGGTGCCATTAATACAGGTAACGAGTGGAGGACAGAGGAGCCTCTTAAAGAAGAAGTTACAGGTCTGTGAGAGCCAGAAATCTTGCTTGTTTGTAGGTGACCAAATACTTATTTTCCACCATAATTTGCAAATAAATTCATTAAAAATCCTACAATGTGATTTTCTGGATTTTTTCCCCTCATTTTGTCTGTCATAGTTGACGTGTACCTATGATGAAAATTACAGGCCTCTCTCATCTTTTTAAGTGGGAGAACTTGCACAATTGGTGGCTGACTAAATACTTTTTTTCCCCACTGTATCTTATGCTGTCTGGTCAAAAATAATATGATATTGTTGACGCCTATAGCATTTAATGCAACGGAAGTCAGCGAGCATTTGGCCTCCCTTGATATTTTTAAAAATACAATAATAGCCCATTAGCGTTGAGCTAAACTGAGTGAGCTCAACTGTGAATGGTCCTGGCGCACCAATTCGTTTTTTGGAATTGTTGCCTTTCCTAAATTAGCCATGGATGGAGATAGGGATTTGGACTTGTGGTTTTACTTTAATTCTCCGTACTCGCCAATGATTATAACGGCAATTCTGATCCAACCATAAATTCATACATTGTGCCCCTGGCCTGAGAGGATGGAAGTTCAGTATGTAGCTTTGTAGTAGGCTAATGTTAACTAGCTGGCTCATCATTACCCATGAAAGGAAGTTAGGCTAGCGAGCAAGCATTTTAGTCAGGTAGCCTAGGACAACAAAAACTAAAAGCGTGTACTGTATGACAGAGTCATAGACCGTTTCGTCAACATGAAAGAGAGAATGGCATTGCCGTTTCTCTACAAGTAGGGTGAGTCAACATGTTTTTCTACTTATGGACACACACACACACACAGATAAATAAATCAATACCATGGACAGCCACATGATATTTAGCTTACATTGATTGGAATTAATAGTTTTTGAAATATTTTAGATGAAATGGTGCTGGAATAGCAGTGGCAGCTCCTGTTTTCTTTGTGACTTGCTGTAACTCTCCAGTGTTCTAAATCAATAGTTGTTTAGTAGTCCGAAAATGTCGGAAACATTAACTTGATTGACCATGCTGTAGGTCATGTAACTGTTTGTTATATGCAATATGTTTTGTGGACTCCACCGGACAGATGTTGCTCTCCGGTTTTGTGATGAAACAAATGTGTGGTTGAAAATATTCTGCCACTGTGTCTTCTTATTGTCTCTGCCTTAGGCCTATATACACAGTATATCACGGTCGCAAGGCATATGAACTAACAGGTTATAGAGCAAACAACGCAATTATCACAACACATAGGTTGTAATATGGCATTTCTTTCCTGGCTTGGCTTCCCCAGTGATTGTCCCCATGCACCGATACTGGAGCAGAGGACACAGGAACAAGCAGAGTGGACGTTCCCAGAACAAGCAGAGTGGACGTTCCCAGAACAAGCAGAGTGGACGTTCCCAGAACAAGCAGAGTGGACGTTCCCAGAACAAGCAGAGTGGACGTTCCCAGAACAAGCAGAGTGGACGTTCCCAGAACAAGCAGAGTGGACGTTCCCAGAACAAGCAGAGTGGACGTTCCCAGAACAAGCAGAGTGGACGTTCCCAGAACAAGCAGAGTGGACGTTCCCAGAACAAGCAGAGTGGACGTTCCCAGAACAAGCGAGGGTCAGACACAGCCACCGGCTGTCATCTCTCTGAGAACTGCTGCTGGCTTTATGATAGGATCTGTTAATGTTTTATTTAATGACAAATTGTCTTTTAACACATAAAAGTCTTGCAATCCATCAAAAAAAGTGTGTTCCAGAATCTGAACATAAATCCTGGTCCTCAAGACTCCTGGTGATAAAGACGTCCTTATCTCAGTGCGCCAATGGGACTCCAGGGCAAAACAGTTTGGCAGATTGCAATAAAATAAATTCTCAGAGTTTGACATGTTATGCAGCAAATCATAAACTCAAGAGACGCTTTGACATCTTCTCTACTCTACAGCATTTTCATTCCAACTAGGGATGTTGTTTATTTTACTTCTGCTCTTTTTTTCTCAACACTTTTTTGTTGTTGTTTTATTTTACTTTTTTATTAAAAATAAATGCACTGTTGGTTAAGGGCTGTAAGTAAGCATTTCACTGTAATGTCTGCACCTGTTGTATTCGGCGCATGTGGCCAATAAAATTTGATTTGATTTGATTGAAGGACAGCAAAGGTGGCTCAACAATAGCTCTTGGCTTCCATCTAGTGGTAATTTAGGATAAAGCACAGCAACCTTTTATTGCTCCCTTTAGACATTTACATTTACGTCATTTAGCAGACGCTCTTATCCAGAGCGACTTACAGTTAGTGAATACCCCGTGGAAATCGAACCCACAACCCTGGCGTTGCAAACGCCATGCTCTATCAACTGAGCTACATCCCTGCCGGCCATTCCCTCCCCTACCCTGGATGACGCTGGGCCAATTGTGCGCCGCCCATGAGTCTCCCGGTCGCGGCCGGCTGCGACAGAGCCTGGATTAGAACCAGGATCTCTAGTGGCACAGCTAGCACTGCCTTAGACCACTGCGCCACTCAGGAGACCCTAGACCAGTATGCATAAAACCGCATACTGCACATTTCCAGTATTCCTCTACTAGCCCCTATGATAAAAAGTATTTAATTTAAACTAATGACTGATATACATTGTAAATAAGAGGGCAATTTACACAAGCTCATTGTTCAACAGACCAAGCCAGGCTTCAGTTGTTGAACGCTGATATGTTGACTGACTGGGCTCCTCAAAATAAACACCGGCTGTTGAGTGGAACACTGGCCTTTCTATGCCAAGCGGCGAGCGTTCACATGCGTATTATTACAACGTGGCTCGCTGCTGTACCAAACTGCCCATTGTACTCCACACCCTCACCTATCAGATGACAGGGACATGCATGCGTCTGTCACTTAGTGTAGTCTACCTGGTCGCCACGTGGCAGCTGCTATATGACTTCACAGCATCACCTGGGCCCAAAGTGACAGTAAGAGGCAAACTGATCCCCTTTGACTCTCACCTGGACAAAGCTGGTCAGATGCTACACAGGGCCATGCCCTCCAGGTGACAAATTGGTTGCACTTAAGCGAGTCCTTGTCAAATACACATGAGAACTATTGTGGTGCCTGCTGTATGTCTGGTTCTATTGACTGTGGCCTTAGAAACTTCACATAACATGTGGTGGTTGATTTAGCATTCTAATGTAACTGTCACCTGAGAGGAATAGGCTGTAAATAAAGAATATTTGCCGTCAGCACTTTGATGAGCACTTATTGGGGGACACTGGCAGGAAGGGAATTTTAGGGACATAATCTGTGCTTTAATGAAACATCAGGGCAGTCATGGGTTATTAAAAAAAGCTTTTACTGGCAAAAATCTTTACTTCAATGGCAATTACATTTCAAATCCAATTGAGGCAAAGCAAATCCATATATACAGGATTACCAAACTTAATCTTAACAATCAAAAGTACAAAAACTATCAAAAACTATCTTTAGAATTGAGGATTAGCTTGTTGATTTGATCATTGTCTGTAATCACATTCTATTATTGTGCAGATTTTGACTTCTTGGGTGTTTTTATTCCTCCTTTTTTCTTGGGCGTTGAGAACTCCTTGTTGCAACACTCACAAACCCAGCAACCTGAGGAGAAAAAAACAATGTTGTTACATATCACAGTACATCCACATGAAACCAAAGGCTAAAAAATAGACTGCATTGTGGGATCCTTCAGACTAAAAGGCATCTAGACAAAAACCAGCTATTTATAACATTTGATTTCAACACTTATAAATCACTTTGACCACATTCCAAACATGAACTTTGATGTTTAATGTGCAGCTACACTAATTATAGCAAATTGAGGTAACAAACAACCCTCCTTGACTGCACAGTCTTGGAAAACTCTAAAAACAGATTTCCAATTTAGCATTATTCACCACAAGCCGACAAGTAGCTCAGTTGGCTAAGCAAATTAATACTGCTGTTTTCACATAAACCCAGCTAAATTCAATCACCTCAAAACTCCATATGAGACTACATTAGATAAAATGAGAGAGCGAGAGTGCAACAGCAAGACAGATATATATATTTTTTAAACACACCCACCCTTCCTTCCATGAAGTAAACACTGATCTAACACACATATTGATAGGAGTAAGCAATGATTCCATCACAAAGATTTCACCAAGGAAAGAAGGAATGATGCATCCTTAAAGTATTTACAAAAGCCCCAGAGAGAGAGCTCACCTAGAGGGATAGAGTCCAGGCCCACGCAAAAGGTGTGAAAGCCCCGGTCACACTTGTCACAGAACATCATCTCCTCCTCGTGGTGGGGCTGCTCACACACCGTGCATGTCTTACACTCCATGCACTGCCACGGGTAGGTCTTAATCAGGCCCATCAGCTCCTCACTCATATCCAGGCACGATGGGTGACCTGGGACACACACACACACACACAGAGCATCAATCGCACCACAGCACTACTCCAAATCACACCGCATAATCCCAATTTGTGATCACGACTAGGCTAATCAAACAAAGTTCTGCTGCTCATATTTTAGAAGCTTTATGTTCATTATGAACAATGCTATGTTGTAAATGCAAGCTAGTGTGATTTGTTTCAGTTTTAATTAAAAAACAAACAGAAGTTCCACTTACCACTGTTCTTGCACTGTGAGCAGTGAATGAGAGCTTCTGGCTTTCCTTTCTTGTTGGACTCCTTACCCTTCTGGCAAATGCCACATATAGCATTGGGTATGACCTTAGGCTGCAAGGGCAGAACAATGCTATAATTTTTAGCAACAAGGCCTAGTGCACCATGTGACAAAGGGCTTCTGAGCAACACACATTATACTGTACAATGTGTAAAAGCCTAAAAGGCCTGATAGGATGTATATATTCATTTATTTCACTCGCAATTGATCCAATCTTGTTAAGTGCTTCTTATTTCACACCCCCAAATAAGAATGACTAGAAATAGCCTATTGTCTAATTTTGAGAAGCTCCCACATAAAAAATGACCAGAAATTTGCTTGTAGACATCACTTATATATAGTCGTGGGGACTGGGAGACTACGATAATTGGATCTCAAGAACTCCAAAGGCAAAACCCAAGAGGTCAAGTTGATTTAAGATTAATTTGGATGTGCCACGCTGTCCCCCATTGCCGCTCATAGCAGGTTAAACACTTGAATGTCCCTCCTGAGGAGACCGAGGTGTTTCCACCCATTGTTTTCCCACATTTATAAAAGGCAGTTAGCCAAAGTCATTTCTGACAGGAGGAAAACTCCTCTTTCCCTGCAGATATTTCATTACAGGATTGCTGCTAACACAATCAAAACATCTCTGTACAGTCTATTTGTTTGAAATCTTTATTTCAATGGTTAACTGTGTCTAAATACTGACATATCAAACGTTTTCCTACATAAAAAGTATTGTATTAGATAAGAGCAGTTAAAGCCTTTCTAAGAAACAAACAACGAAACGTGGAAGGGCGAACCGGAGGTTTGAGACACACAGTTAAGTTAATAAAGGATACAGCTAATTGAATATAAGATGTCATCACAGAAAGAGGGGTGCCAGCTAAACTAGGAGAACAAAGATTTAGCCAAAGGAAGGTATGACAATCAAAGGGACAACTTTAAGCCATTGCACTCAAATCAAACACGTAAGACACATGAAATTCTAAGAGAGAGACGTATACAAGTCAGGAACAAATTGAGCTTTGAAGGATCAACATAAACTGTACCTACTTAGGTGCACAGTCTGCACAAATATTGGGAATGTGTGCAAGCAATTGGGAGAATACAGCCAATGAGTATGAAGTAGGCTGTGTGTTCATGGAAATATCTATTTTTAAAATGTCAACCTGTTTGGTGTTGCCATCCTGAAATGTTTCATTTGACTGGTGCAAAACAAGAAGAAAGAAAGGGTTACATATTTTCTGTTAGACTTCAGATGGCTACCCCTGCAGTGTAGTGCCAACACAAGCAATTTATACCATTATGATTCTGAAAATAATCAATTTCTTGTACAGTTCCTGAACTCTACCTTACATTAAAATTATAATAAAGTAAACTTTAAGGCCATGTTCTCTATGGCGACAATAATAGGTTGGGTAAATTATTCTGCAAGTATTGTATCTGTATCGGCTTCAGTCTTAAATTCAATGAGCACCGATATTGGAAAGTTATAGTTACATTCTGAACACATCTATGATGCATTACATACCTAAAATTAAATGGAGGGTAAGTAGATAAAAGTTTTACAAAGTTTGGTTTAAAAGTGTGGTGTGCACTCAAAATAAATAATTCTAATTCCCTTCGGAAACATGCTGATTGGAAACGTAACAGACAACTCCATCCCTGTGGAAAGTTATGAGCTCTCCACATCCATCAATGACCAATGATCAAATCCTGATGTATGATATGGTGTTTGTGGTGTAGTAATACTAGTCATACCATGACAAGCTATGTATATTTGTGCTTACTGCTCTTGCTGTCGTTTTTGGCAAACTAAATTGTATTAATCTGCCATGTTGCCCTTGCAGTAAAACAGATGAGAGTAAATTGCCAGATTGACAGAAAGTAAATCATGTTGATCCCGGAAATGCCACTAATCAATAATTTAAACTTAACACAACAATACATTTCAGAGGCAACCGAAAGTAAAAAAGCCAACATATAGAATGTGTATTAACAGGCCTCTGGCACACTGACATTGTGTTCTCCAGTCTCATAATAAACAAAGAACAGTCTGTAAGGTAATATCAAACAACCGTTATAGAATAACGGCACAAGAATACTGGTTTAAAAGCATACTAATATACACAGATATAACTTGAATTATAAAACTTTCAAACACTCAAGTATTAACGTAATTTTAGTGCTACTACTAAATAAAATGTATGCATCTTATAAAGTCTGTATCATAAGAAATATGTTGTTTAAAAACAATGAATCTAGCAGCCAAATATACTGTAACTGCTCTCGTCTTAATTAGCCTGTTGCTAAGTACACAGAAAAGAGGTATATTAAGACATTCAAAGAATAGGGTAAAAAATGTATAAGTCTTTAAGACCAATCAAAAGTGCAGTGAAGAACAAGTCCCAGATGTGACAGAACTACTCCAAAATGTTATTGCTCATAAAGTCTGATATGGAACCATCAGTTTTTTAACCATATGGTTGATATGGCACCATCAGTGTATTAACCATACGGTTGGTATGGAACCATCACTGTTTTAAAGAGACTTTCCGGAAGATTTGCACTTTTTAGCCAGTAGTTCTGAAAGTAACGCTCAAGAGCCAGAGCGGGTCCCCTAAAACTGCTTACATGTGCAGTACGTCATTGCTCTCTCTCTCTCTCTCTCTCTCTCTGCTGTGTCACTGAGCCGTTGGGCCCATCCTGCAACCTCATTGGATAACGCTGGGCTGGGCTAGGACAGCCTTCTTCTTTCACTGTGCAACTCGTCAATGTGCATCTTACTAGCTGTCACTCAAAATGGCAAGGGGCTGAAGCAGATTGGCTGGAACTCTAATTGCTAGGGGGCTGACCCACGTGGGTCAAGCCTGCAGTGCTCAAAATGGCAAAACAGCTTCCAGAAAACAGTTGCTTTCAAACTAGGGATTTTGTGGCCAATTGAGGTAAGACAGTAATTTTTCTCATAGATTATGCATGTATGAACTACACATTGACACATCCAGCCCAAAGCGGGAGGTTTAAAAAATACTTAAGTAGTCGCCAAAGATCCGGAATGTCTCTTTAACCATAGGGTCGGTTCACAACCAAACTGGACCAATTGGAAAGGGAAGGCAGAGTGCTGCCACAAGAGAGAATTATTGCCAACTGGTGGAGTGTTAATGTGTCTGTTAGGAGTGACAGGGCCAGAAATCGGGGTGGGGACAAAGGAGGGTCTCTCTACTGAAAGTGCTGAAGAAGCTGGAAGAGGTGGCAGAGTAGGGGAAAGGGAAGAGAAGTGCTGTTGGAGAAAGTCAGGGGCTTTTTTCTTCTACCTTGTACCCAGGGACAGATTTGTGTTGGTTGGGGCGTGGGGTGGCATCTTTAGCCGGGGTGGCAGTCCTGTCCTTGGCCTTGCCCTTTGACTGCACTCCACTGTGCTGACTGTCCCCATCTGAAGTGTTTCCAGATGAGCTGTCCTGTAAACACAATTCAGTTCTTACTATTCAAGCAAGCTGCCATGGAGTTTACATAGAAGTCAACTTACAAAGCATCTCTAGGCATTTCATTGTCATTGCATCTCTAGCTCTGAAATCAAGTGAAGTGTGTAAAAACATTTCCAGAATCCAGTTCCTTACTGAATTTTTCTTGCCCTCTTCACCCTTGTTTTCATCTGCGTCATCCGAATCCCCATCGCTGTCCAGGGCAGGCAGCTCCGGGTCCAGTGGGGGCTCGAACAGGGCTGTGTTCAGGGGCAAGTAGCGCAGTTCGTTGGGAGAGTACCTGTATCAAACACAGGAACATCAATTTATCAGCTATTCAAACATCTTTAGAGGTCAGGACCTCATTCATGAAGACTAGTTTTTTGGTTAGTGAACCGTACCTTTTGTAATAGTCCTGGAACTGCCCAGGGATGAGGGCCACTGGATAGGGTCCAGTCTTGGTTCTCTCTGGGGGAAGGACTTTATACCTCCCTTGGGGTACTTGGATAATCTGTTAGAAAGTTAGTTGAAACTTACTTCAATTACACGTTCATATCCACATAAATAAGTAATACAGTTTATCAATGTACTGATATACTGTATCTCCTCAAACATGAACAAGTGTGAGTTCTTATAAACACATACAAAATATGTATGACTACTAAGCCTATATATGTATATTTAAGGTATTAACGTACATGTGTCTGAAGGTCAAAATATGCCCTTCTCTCTTCCATCCTTTCCCTGTTGAAGTTACTGTTGAACTCAGCAGCTTTCTTGGCAGCTTTCTTTATGTACTCTGGCACTTTACTGGCTTCAACCTTCTGATGGTTTTGTTGCTGCATTTTCTAGGAGATATAAAAAAATAAAAAATAAAAATGTTACCACCGCAACATATTGAATAATCATGTCAACAGTTAATGTACTGTGAGTGAAAATATAATCTGGAAACTCAAGTCAAAGACTGTTGTAATATGCATTTACACTCCCATTTATCATCCACACCAAAGCTACACTGCTCAAAAAAATAAAGGGAACACTTAAACAACACAATGTAACTCCAAGTCAATCACACTTCTGTGAAATCAAACTGTCCAATTAGGAAGCAACACTGATTGACAATACATTTCACATGCTGTTGTGCAAATGGAATAGACAACAGGTGGAAATGATAGGCAATTAGCAAGACACCCCCAATAAAGGACTGGTTTTGCAGGTGGTGACCACAGACCACTTCTCAGTTCCTATGCTTCCTGGCTGATGTTTTGGTCACTTTTGAATGCTGGCTGTGCTTTCACTCTAGTGGTAGCATGAGACGACGGAGTCTACAACCCACACAAGTGGCTCAGGTAGTGCAGCTCATCCAGGATGGCACATCAATGCGAGCTGTGGCAAGAAGGTTTGCTGTGTCTGTCAGCGTAGTGTCCAGAGCATGGAGGCGCTACCAGGAGACAGGCCAGTACATCAGGAGACGTGGAGGAGGCCGTAGGAGGGCAAAAACCCAGCAGCAGGACTGCTACCTCCGCCTTTGTGCAAGGAGGAGCAGGAGGAGCACTGCCAGAGCCCTGCAAAATGACCTCCAGCAGGCCACAAATGTGCATGTGTCTGCTCAAACGGTCAGAAACAGACTCCATGAGGGTGGTATGAGGGCCCGACGTCCACAGGTGTGGGTTGTGCTTACAGCCCAACACCGTGCAGGACGTTTGGCATTTGCCAGAGAACACCAAGATTGGCAAATTCGCCACTGGCGCCCTGTGCTCTTCACAGATGAAAGCAGGTTCACACTGAGCACATGTGACAGACGTGACAGAGTCTGGAGACGCCGTGGAGAACGTTCTGCTGCCTGCAACATCCTCCAGCATGACAGGTTTTGAGCACATCTGGGACATCATGTCTCGCTCCATCCACCAACGCCACGTTGCACCACAGACTGTCCAGGAGTTGGCGGATGCTTTAGTCCAGGTCTGGGAGGAGATCCCTCAGGAGACCATCCGCCACCTCATCAGGAGCATGCCCAGGCGTTGTAGGGAGGTCATACAGGCACGTGGAGGCCACACACACTACTGAGCCTCATTTTGACTTGTTTTAAGGACATTACATCAAAGTTGGATCAGTCTGTAGTGTGGTTTTCCACTTTAATTTTGAGGGTGACTCCAAATCCAGACCTCCATGGGTTGATACATTTGATTTCCATTGATACTTTTTGTGTGATTTTGTTGTCAGCACATTCAACTATGTAAAGAAAAAAGTATTTAATAAGATTATTTCATTCATTCAGATCTAGGATGTGTTATTTTAGTGTTCCCTTTATTTTTTTGAGCAGTGTATAAAAAAATAAAAAATAAGCAAAGACGAAACTGTAACTTTGAGTCAACTAAAATGTGTCAATCTTGCGGAGCATACTAACATTAGTGATACGCTCTGAACTGAGAGTACTTACAGAGTACTCTTTTGCTATCCTCTGGCGCTCCCTCTCTTGGAGGATGACAGAATACTCAGCATGCTTGCCCGGGTACTCCTTGATCATCAAATCAATTACTTCATCACTTCGTAAAGCAGTCAAGCCTGGAAAAAGAGATTCACAATTACTTAAATGTATACAGTTTCAAGGTACAGTGGGGAAAAAAAGTATTTAGTCAGCTACCAATTGTGCAAGTTCTCCCACTTAAAAAGATGAGAGAGGCCTGTAATTTTCATCATAGGTACACGTCAACTATGACAGACAAATTGAGGAAAAAAAATCCAGAAAATCACATTGTAGGATTTTTAATGAATTTATTTGCAATTATGGTGGAAAATAAGTATTTGGTCACCTACAAACAAGCAAGATTTCTGGCTCTCACAGACCTGTAACTTCTTCTTTAAGAGGCTTCTCTGTCCTCCACTCGTTACCTGTATTAATGGCACCTGTTTGAACTTGTTATCAGTATATAAGACACCTGTCCACAACCTCAAACAGTCACACTCCAAACTCCACTATGGCCAAGACCAAAGAGCTGTCAAAGGACACCAGAAACAAAATTGTAGACCTGCACCAGGCAGGGAAGACTGAATCTGCAATAGGTAAGCAGCTTGGTTTGAAGAAATCAACTGTGGGAGCAATTATTAGGAAATGGAAGACATACAAGACCACTGATAATCTCCCTCGATCTGGGGCTCCACGCAAGATCTCACCCTGTGGGGTCAAAATGATCACAAGAACGGTGAGCAAAAATCCCAGACCACACGGGGGGACCTAGTGAATGACCTGCAGAGAGCTGGGACCAAAGTAACAAAGCCTACCATCAGTAACACACTACGCCGCCAGGGACTCAAATCCTGCAGTGCAAGACGTGTCCCCCTGCTTAAGCCAGTACATGTCCAGGCCCGTCTGAAGTTTGCTAGAGTGCATTTGGATGATCCAGAAGAGGATTGGGAGAATGTCATATGGTCAAATGAAACCAAAATATAACTTTTTGGTAAAAACTCAACTCGTCGTGTTTGGAGGACAAAGAATGCTGAGTTGCATCCAAAGAACACCATACCTACTGTGAAGCATGGGGGTGGAAACATCATGCTTTGGGGCTGCTTTTCTGCAAAGGGACCAGGACGACTGATCAGTGTAAAGGAAAGAATGAATGGGGCCATGTATCGTGAGATTTTGAGTGAAAACCTCCTTCCATCAGCAAGGGCATTGAAGATGAAACGTGGCTGGGTCTTTCAGCATGACAATGATCCCAAACACACCGCCCGGACAACGAAGGAGTGGCTTCGTAAGAAGCATTTCAAGGTCCTGGAGTGGCCTAGCCAGTCTCCAGATCTCAACCCCATAGAAAATCTTTGGAGGGAGTTGAAAGTCTGTGTTGCCCAGCGACAGCCCCAAAACATCACTGCTCTAGAGGAGATCTGCATGGAGGAATGGGCCAAAATACCAGCAACAGTGTGTGAAAACCTTGTGAAGACTTACAGAAAACGTTTGACCTGTGTCATTGCCAACAAAGGGTATATAACAAAGTATTGAGAAACTTTTGTTATTGACCAAATACTTATTTTCCACCATCATTTGCAAATAAATTCATTGAAAATCCTACAATGTGATTTTCTGGATTTTTTTCCCTCATTTTGTCTGTCATAGTTGACGTGTACCTATGATGAAAATTACAGGCCTCTCTCATCTTTTTAAGTGGGAGAATTTGCACAATTGGTGGCTGACTAAATACTTTTTTCCCCACTGTAAGGAGTGGCCTAATTCCCCAAAACAACTATTGGGATGGCTTTGGCCCAAGCTCTTCCTGATTACGCAACAACTCCATGTTTCTAAGTTCTCACCCAAGGTGCACTGTGTCTCGGTGATGACATTTTGCTCCCTCAGATATAGCTTCTCCTTGTGGGAGAGGTCTCTCCTTTCCAAATCTAAAAGAATAATTTATTGAATTTATTGGATAATTAAAAGTAGTAGGCTGCTCCAACCAGAGACAACATTACATATATAAAAAAATTGACGATATAAACAAAGCCTGAAGGTTTATTTCCTTTGATGGTCCTTTGTAGCTCAGTTGGTTGAACATCGAGCTTGTAACGCCAGTGTAGTGGGTGTATAAATGTATACACGTATGACTAAGTTGCTTTGGATAAAAGCGTCTGCTAAATGGCATATATTATTAAGATAAAGCATGGTTAGCCAGAGAGTGACCAGTTTAACATCAGTATAGCATACCGATAGACTCGTTATATCCTATTAGCCTAATCATCAAATTGACACACAATGATCCTACAGCATATATGCCAAACGTTAAGCCACATTACCTGGATATTTTCGCTTGAATGAAGTCACTCCCAGATATTCACTGACTTGTTCTTGCAACATATAGTACTCCCCACTGCCATCTGAGGGCCACCTGTACTCGGTCAGATTTTCTGCTGAGAAGTATGTGACCCTGGGGAAACGCACGTATGACTGAAAGGTTAAGAGCAGGGTAAAGTCTTAAGCCTATGTTAGACACGTAGGCTGCGTTTAGACCAGTCCAATTCTGATATTTCTTTCACTAATTGGTATTTTGACCAATCAGATCAGCTCTGAAAAAGATCTATGTGAAAAGATCTGATGTGATTGGTCAAAAGACCAATTAGTGAAAATAAATATCAGAATTGGGCTGCCTGTGAAAAAACAGCCTAAGTGTTTGTATTGGGGATTGGGCATTGGGCGTGGTCTATTAGGAAGTAGTGATGCAAATATGTCTATCTACGCCTTCAGATACGACCTTACCACATACCCAAGTTCCTGACTGGAGGTGTCGCAACTTCTGGAACTGTCGCCTGAACCCATGCGCCGCCTTTTTGGAGCTTGACTGCCATCATTGGACACTTCCTCAATGTCATCCTAAAAATACAGTTAGGATATACAAAACACCTTAAGTATTACTTGTTAAAGTTAATAGTTCTCTACAGAATAAAAGTTTGTTGGATGTTTTCAGATCTCAAGGGGTGAGTTAATTTCCTACACTGAACAAAAATGTAAATGCAACATGTAAAATGGTCTCATGTTTCATGAGCTGAAATAAAAGATCCCAGAAATGTTCATTACACACAAAAAGCTTATTTTTCTCTCAAATGTTGTGCACAAATTTGTTTACATCCCTGTTAGTGAGCATTTCTCCTTTACCAGGATAATCCATCTACCTGACAGGTCTGGCATATCAAGGCACTGATTAAACATCATGATCTTTACACAGGTGCACCTTGTGCTGGGGACAAAAGCCCACTCTAAAATGTGCAGTTTTGTCACAACACAATGCCACATACAGTATGTCTCAAGTTGAGGGAATGTGCAATTGGCATGCTGACTGCAGGAATGTCCACCAGAGCTATTGCCAAATAATTTAATGTTAATTTCTCTACCATAAGTAGTTTTAGAACATTTGGCAGTACATCCAACCGGCCTCACAACCTACTGTAAGTCGCTCTGGATAAGAGCGTCTGCTAAATTACTAAAATGTTTTTTTTTTAAATGTAAATAGCAAGCCTAGAGGTAACACATTCATAGATGCCAACTATAGTGCCTTCAGAAGGTATTCAAACCCCTTGAATTTCTCCACATTTTGTTGTGTTACAGCCTGAAATTTAAATGGATTAAATGAGTTGTTTTTTTTTTCACCTTTATTTAACCAGGTAAGCCAGTTGAGAACAAGTTCTCATTTACAACTGCGACCTGGCCAAGATAAAGCAAAGCAGTGCGATAAAAACAACACAGAGTTCCATATGGAATAAACAAAAACAAAACGTACAGTCAATAACACAATAGAAAATCTATATACAGTGTGTGCAAATGTAGTAAGTTATGGAGGTAAGGCAATAAATAGGATTACAGATGGGCTGTGTACAGGTGCAGTGATCGGTAAGCTGCTCTGACAACTGATGCTTAAAGTTAGTGAGGGAGATAAGTGTCTCCAGCTTCAGAGATTTTTGCAGTTCGTTCCAGTCATTGGCAGCAGAGAACTGGAAGGAATGGCGGCCAAAGGAGGTGTTGGCTTTGGGGATGACCAGTGAGATATACCTGCTGGAACACATACTACGGGTGGGTGTTGCTATGGTGACCAATGAGCTAAGATAAGGCGGGGATTTGCCTAGAAGTGATTTATAGATGACCTGGAGCCAGTGGGTTTGGCGACGAATATGTAGTGAGGGCCAGCCAACGAGAGTGTACAGGTCACAATGGTGGGTAGTATATGGGGCTTTGGTGACAAAACGGATGGCACTGTGATAGACTACATCCAATTTGCTGAGTAGTGTATTTTGTAAATGACATCGCCGAAGTCAAGGATCGGTAGGATAGTCAGTTTTACGAGGGCATGTTTGGCAGCATGAGTGAAGGAGGCTTTGTTGCGAAATAGGAAGCCGATTCTAGATTTAACTTTGGATTGGAGATGCTTAATGTGAGTCTGGAAGGAGAGTTTACGGTCTAACCAGACACCTAGGTATTTGTAGTTGTCCACATATTCTAAGTCAGACCCGCCGAGAGTGGTGATTCTAGTCGGGCGGGCGGGTGCAAGCAGCGTTCGATTGAAGAGCATGCATTTAGTTTTACTAGCGTTTAAGAGCAGTTGGAGGCCACGGAAGGAGTGTTGTATGGCATTGAAGCTTGTTTGTAGGTTTGTTAACACAGTGTCCAATGAAGGGCCAGATGTATACAAAATGGTGTCGTCTGCGTAGAGGTGGATCTGAGAGTCACCAGCAGCAAGAGCGACGTCATTGATATACACAGAGAATAGAGTCGGCCCGAGAATTGAACCCTGTGGCACCCCCATAGAGACTGCCAGAGGTCCAGACAACAGGCCCTCCGATTTGACACATTGAACTCAATCTGAGAAGTAGTTGGTGAACCAGGCGAGGCAGTCATTTGAGAAACCAAGGCTATTTAGTCTGCCAATAAGAATGCGGAGATTGACAGAGTCAAAAGCCAGGTCGATGAAGACGGCTGCACAGGACTGTCTTTTATCGATCGCGGTTATTATATTGTTTAGGACCTTGAGCGTGGCTGAGGTGCACCCATGACCAGCACGGGGGGGGGGGGGGGGCATGGGCAAGTTGCAGCGGAGGGTGCAGAGCTGGTGGCCGGGGAAGGGGTAGCCAGGTGGATGTTGTGTTATTGGCCTACACACATAATTCCCCATAATATCGAAGTGGAATTGTTTTAAGAAATGTGTACAAATGAATTAAAAATGAAACGCTGAAAAATCTTGAGTCAATAAGTATTCAACGCCTTTGTTATACCAAGCCTTAATACGTTCAGGAGTAAAAAATATCCTTAACAAGTCACATAAGTTGCATGGACTCACTCTGTGTGCAATAATAGTGTTTAACATAATTTTTTTAATGACTACGTCATCTTTGTACTCCACACATACAATTATCTGCAAGGTCCCTCAGTCGAGCAGTGAATTTCAAACACAGATTCAACCACAAAGACCAGGGAGGTTTTCCAATGCCTCGCAAAGAAGGGCACCTATTGGTAGATGGGTACATTTAAATAAAGCAGACATTGAATATCCCTTTGAGCATGGTGAAGTTATGAATTACACTTTGGATGGTGTATCAATACACCTAGACACTACAAAGATACAGGCGTCCAAACTCAGTTGCCAGAGAGGAAGGAAACCGCACAGGGATTTCAACATGAGGCCAATGGTGACTTTAAAACAGAGTTTAATGGTTATGATAGGAGAAAACTGAGGATGGATCAATAACATTGTAGTTTCTCCACAATACTAACCTAAATGACAGAGTGAAAAGAAGGAAGCCTGTACAGAATAGCAATATTCCAAAACATGCATCCTGCTTGCAATAAGGCACTAAAGTAAAACTGCGAAAAAATATGGCAAAGAAATTAACTTCATGTACTGAATACAAAATGTTATATTTTCAAGCATGGTGGTGGCTGCATCATGTTATCGGTATGCTTGTCATCAGCAAGGGCTAAGCAGTTTTTTAGGATAAAAATAAACGTAATAGAACTAAGCACAGGCAATATCCTAGAGGAAAACCTGGTTCAGTCTGTTTTCCAACATACACTTGGAGCCAAATTAACCTTTCAGCAGGACAATAACCTAAAACATAAGGCTAAATATACACTGGAGTTGCTTACCAAGACGACATTGAATGTTCCTGAGTGGCCTAGCTACAGTTTTGACTTAAAAATCGGCTTGAAAATCTATGGCAAGACTTGAAAATGGCTGTCTAGCAATGATCAACAACCAATTGACAGAGCTTGAAGAATTTTAAAAGGAATAATGTGCAAATGTTGTACAATCCAGATGTGCAAACTGCAAAGCTCTTAGACTTACCCAGAAAGACTCACAGCTGTAATCGCTGCCAAAGGTGATTTTAACATGTATTGACTCAGACGTGAATACTTACAGTTGAAGTCGGAAGTTTACATACACCTTAGCCAAATACATTTAAACTCTGTTTTTCACCATTTCTGACATTTAATCCTAGTAAAAATGTACACTCAATTAGTATTTGGTAACATTGCCTTTAAATTGTTTAACTTGGGTCAAACGTTTCGGGTAGCCTTCCATAAGCTTCACACAATAAGTTGGGTGAATTTTGGCCCATTCCTCCTGACAGAGCTTGTGTAACTGAGTCAGGTTTGTAGGCCTCCTTGCTCGCACACACTTTTTCAGTTCTGCCCACAAATATTCTATAGGATTGAGGTCAGGGCTTTGGATGGCCACTCCAATACCTTGACTTTGTTGTCCTTAAGCCATTTTGCCACAACTTCGGAAGTATGCTTGGGGTCATTGTCCATTTGGAAGACCCATTTGCGACCAAGCTTTAACATCCTGACTGATGTCTTGAGATGTTGCTTCAATATATACACATCATTTTCCTTCCTCATGATGCCATCTATTTTGTGAAGTGCACCAGTCCCTCCTGCAGCAAAGCACCCCCACAGCATGATGCTGCCACCCCCGTGCTTCACGGTTGGGATGGTGTTCTTCGGCTTGCAAGCTACTCCCCTTTTCCTCCAAACATAACAATGGTCATTATGGACAAACAGTTATATTTTTGTTTAATCAGACCAGAGGACATTTCTCCAAAAAGTACGATCTTTGTCCCCATGTGCAGTTGCAAACCGTAGTCTGGTTTTTTTATGGCGGTTTTGGAGCAGTGGCTTCTTCCTTGTTGAGCGGCCTTTCAGGTTATGTCGATATAGGACTCGTTTTACTGTGGATATAGATACTTTTGTACCCGTTTTCTCCAGCATCTTCACAAGGTCCTCTGCTGTTGTTCTGGGATTGATTTGCACTTTTCACACCAAAGTACGTTAATCTCTAGGAGACAGAACGCGTCTCCTTCCTGAGCGGTATTGACGGCTGTGTGGTCCCATGGTGTTTATACTTGCGTACTATTGTTTGTACAGATGAACGTGGTACCTTCAGGCGTTTGGAAATTGCTCCCAAGGATGAACCAGACTTGTGGAGGTCCACAATTTATTTTCTGAGGTCTTGGCTGATTTATTTTGATTTTCCCATGATGTTAAGCAAAGAGGCACTGAGTTTGAAGGTAGGCCTTGAAATACATCCACAGGTACACCTCCAATTGACTCAAATGACGTCAATTAGCCTATCAGAAGCTTCTAAAGCCATGACATAATTTTCCTGAATTTTCCAAGCTGTTTAAAGGCACAGTCAACATAGTGTATGTAAACTTCTGGCCCACTGGAATTGTGATACAGTGAATTATAAGTGAAATAATCTGTCTGTAAACAATTGTTGTGTCATGCACAAAGTAGATGTCCTAACCGACTTGCCAAACTTATAGTTTGTTAACAAGAAATTTGTGGAGTAGTTGAAAAACGACTTTTAATGACTCCAACCTAAGTGTATGTAAACTTCCAACTTCAACTGTATGTAAAATATCACAAAACATGTTTTCTCTTTGTCATTATGGGGTATTCTGTGTAGATAGGTGAGAGAAAAAAATAGATTTAATCCATTTTGAATTCAGGCTGTAACACAACAAAATGTGGAATAAGTCAAGGGGTATGAATACTTTCTGAAGGCACTGTCCCTTTAGCATCTATTGATGATAGTATCTTCTGGCCAGGGGAGTTTTGTCAAGAGCCCCGACGCTTGTTCTAAACATTAACACGCATCTCTTGCGGTATGGTTTTGGAAACAGAAGGAACAGATCTTTCTTATCAGCGATAAATATATATATATTTTTTTAAGGTTAAATTACCACACACTAGGGGTGTGAACGTTTAAACGTCAAAACTTGTGGTCCTTAACGTTAAGAAAAATCCTAAACGTTTCCCCACGAAATGTTTATGGCAGTGCAGTTACCACAAAACATATTATTTTCCGTGTTAAAGCCTAACTAGACAATAGGCTATAAAGGCCGGGGAAAGTTGTGTAATTTAAATAGAATTTTAGGCTACTTTGGTGAATTTGCAAGGCATGCAAGATAGATTACCAAGACATATGCGCACCACGCTTTTTTCTGCCTGCCCCCTCCTCGCTCTCCCTCGCGCTGGCTTGCCTGGGGCATATTCATTACACAGATTCTGTTGCAAAATGTATCTTAAGCGAAAGCAAACCGAATGAAACGGGGAGGGAGAGACCTACCTGCTATTGTCCAATAGAAACTCTCCTTTTAGTTGCAAAAAGTTTTGCAACTGTTTCGACTAATGATTACACCCGTGCTCTTTCTCTTTGTGTGTGTTCAGTCTTGGCAACTAAATCAGTCTCCTCCGTTCCAAAAATACTGCATCTTAAGAGTCGATTCCTTACGAATCTAATCTTGACACTCAGAAATGGGAGTCGACGTGCAAGGAGGAATCAATTATTTTGGAGTCGACGCTCCATGACTACGTCGTTAACAGTTGGAAAAATGGCAGAGAAAGGCAAGCGATAGCAGCAAAGTCCTGTATGGCAATACTTTGAGAAGGTACATGAGAAGGAAATGCTAACTTTGCGAGGTGGAATTGAGGTACAGTAATGGTAGTACAGGTGCAATGCTTAACCATCTGAAAAGGACGCACCGTGAGACCCAACCCGTTGCTGGCAGTAGCGCAGCTGCATTGTGAATGCGCATGGAATTTTATGAAACGTTCTATCGTTTTAACGAAAACCCGATATAGAAAAGGGCCGTTTTAAAAGTTAAGAAAATTTGTAAATTTGTCACATCCCTACTACACATCTTTATAGGGTTAGGGTTCCCACATTGCCATATTTCCATGTTGCAGCGCTTGTTTACATTAAACCGATGGAAGACTGATACCACTAGCTGTTCTAATTAGCCATCTGCGTCTCCAAACACCTGTGTGTAAACGGAAGACTGATACCATAAACCTGGTCACTGAAAAATACTGTTGGCTGCAACTGTGTTGAAACTACTTAACAGTAAGTGTATATTTTGCATTTGTGAAATTATTTTGATGTGATATGAAAGTAAAGGGCTTTATGTTTATAGGACTGTACCGCAATTGAGAATACATTCACATTTAGATGGAGTTTTATCAATTGTGCCTGACAAAGCCAATTCGCCTCGAAGCAGAACACGTAAGGTCCTTGGACTATAAGAAGTAACATTAGTCTCATTAAGTCCATTATTGGGCTAGCCAGTGGAGGCTGCTGAGGGGAGGACGGCTCATAATAATGTCTGGAACGGAGCAAATGGAATGGCATGAACATGTTCTGTGTATTTGATACCATTCCACTTATTCCTCTCCAGCCATTTCCACAAGCCCGTCCTCCCCAATTAAGGTGCCACCAACCTCCTGTGGCTAGCCTTGAGGTAGGCCTAGTCCCAATTGTAGTGATGCCCTCCATTGTCTGTACCGCATAGCCGCGCACATTTACATAGAACGTCCCTTGTCTGTCACGAATGTTGAATCAAATTTTAACTTAATCTGACGATTGTCCATGGGGTTGGTCCTTCAACTGGTTGTAATTTAAGACAAAATATCCACAGTAAATAATTATTAAACTGACTTCCAAACGCAGGTCTCTGTGTGGCAATCAAGAATTTGTTTGGTCATGACCCAAGGCACGTGCACAAGACGGAAGAATATGCTTGCGATGCATTCATACTATCCCAAGTCTTGCAGGTGTTTACATGGTTTTGCGCATGTGCCAGGTGATAGACTTTAATAGCAGTACCAGCGCTCTAAAAAGTCAAGTAAATAATACTTTCCTGTGGATGTTTTTTTATTTTATTTATTTACTTTTACCCCCTTTCTCCCCAATTGTCATGATATCCAATTGGTAGTCAGTCTTGTCCCATCGCTGCAACTCTCCTACAGACTCGGGAGAGGTGAAGGTCGAGAGTCATGCATCCTCCGAAACACAACCCTGCCAAGCCGCACTGCTTCTTGACACACTGCTCGCTTAACCCGGAAGCAAGCCGCACCAATGTGTCGGAGGAAACGCCGTCCAACTGGCTACCGATTTCAGCTTGCAGGCGCCCGGCCTGCCACAAGGAGTCGCTAGAGCGCGATGGGACAAGGAAATCCCGGCCGGTCAAACCCTCCCCTAACCCGGATGACGCTGGGCCAATTGTGCTCCGCCTCATGGGTCTCCCAGTCATGGTCGGCTGTGACAGGCTGCAGCCTGGAATCGAACTCAGGGCTATAGTGACGCCTCAAGCACTGCAGTGCCTTAGACCGCTCGGGAGGCCCTCCTGTGGATATTTTGTCTCCAATTTCGACCGTCTGCACAGACAACTGGTCGAGTAAATGTATTTAACATTCTACCTTGTAAGGAAACTTTCCAAGTTTTTGCAGTGCTTTGTTTCAGACGGTATACCAATAATTGGTATCACAGTCTGATTTATTAGGCAAGCCTAGAGGCAAAACAAGGAGCATTGGACTTGGACAGAAGTCTAATGAGACACGATGTAAACAAAAACTATGATATACTGGCACACTAAACAGCTAGTTAAGTATCTAGCTAGATAGCGAGACACTATGCTAGCTAAGCAAGTTAGTTAGCTAACGGTATGGATAACTAGCTAGTAACGCTAGGTATTCCTAGTCGTTAACGTTAGTTAACAACGACACAATTTACAACACATCGATCTCCCCCATATAGTAACATAGCTAACAATAATCTACATAACAAGTGTCATGCGTTCAACAACGCTGAATAAAACTAGTAACTAACGTGGCCTACTACTGTATTAAATTGTAATTTGTAAATATTTATAAAGTTAGCTAACTAGCGAAACGGCGGTAGGTTTGATGACAACAAAGGAGTTTGAGGTTGATGTGTTTTCGTTAGCGCGCACCTTAGCATGTTGTCTTCAACACATTATTAGCATGTATATGGCCAGCAATGTGTATATTGTGTTAAGATATATTTGCCAAGTTTACCTTTATAGACTGCGCTCCCGGGGTCGCAGGGTTGCTATCGCAAGGTCTGGGTGGGAGAACTGTAGCCATGTTTAGCGGCTACTAGCTAGCTAGTTTCAGAGATGCACACTAGGATAATAATGTTACCGACTGGAAACAGACACGGAACAAATGTTCCACAAACAAATGTTCCTCAAATTATGTCCAACTCTAAATTGGGCAAAGCGGACGTGGTTGGCTTAGATTGTTGACATGTTAACTACATTTCGTCTCCAATGTTTACTGGAAACATAAATACATTTGCACAATGAGCACTTTCTCTCAAATATATCGTTATAGTGGTTAGCTAGCAAGCGAATTTTAGCATTCACACGAAATCAGTCAAAACACCTCAACAAGACATGGTGCAAGCCAAGAACAAGATTAAACTAGCTGAAACGAGTCACTTAAGATTCCCGACATGGCAGTTTCTTGTCATTGTTGGTAGCTGTCTGGCCATCCAGAATTACAACAACTCACGGACTTCTGCCCCATTGAAGCTTGCGCATCGTTTTCGTGACGTTGTCAGCTAACCCATCTATAAGGGTGGGGATAATTTTGTACATACATTTTTGCCACAACCAATCAAATCCAAATCAAATGTATTGATCTCGTACACAGATACGTTGATGTTAAAGCAGGTGCAGCGAAATGCTTGTTTCTAGCATCTGTAATCATCAAGTGCTTTGAAAGGCTGGTTATGGCTCACACCTCCCATCATCCCAGACACCCTAGACCAGGGGTCTCCAACAGGCAGTGGTGGAAACAGTACAACATTTTCATACTTGAGTAAAAGTAAAGATACATTAATAGAAACCGACTCAAGTAAAAGTGAAAGTCACCCAGTAAAATACGACTTGAGTAAAAGTATTTGGTTTTTAATATACTTAAATGTAATTGCAAAAATATTCTTAAGTATCAAAAGTAAAAGTAGAAATCATTTCAAATTACTTCTATTAGGCAATCCAAACAGCACAAGTTTCTTGTTTTTTTAATTTACGGATAGTCAAGGGCACACTCCAACACTCAGACATAATTTACAAATGAATTTGTGTTTAGTGAGTCCACAACATCAGAGGCAGTAGGGATGACCTGACCAGGGATATCCTCTTGATAAGTGTGTGAATTGAACCATTTTCTTGTCCTGTTAAGCATTTAAACTGTAAGAGTACTTTTGGGTGTCAGGGAAAATGTATGGAGTAAAAAGTACATGATTTTCAAAGACATCATTATTATTGTTGTTTATCCAGTCAGATAAACACTCCAAACAGTCAATCCTGGGCTCCCGAGTGGCGCAGTGGTCTAAGGCACTGCATCTCAGTGCTTGAGGCGTTACTACAGACTCCCTGGTTCGATTCCAGGCTGTATCACAACCGGCTGTCATTGGGAGTCCCATAGGGCGGCGCTCAGCATTGTCCGGTGTAGGCTGTCATTGTAAATAAGAATTTGTTCTTAACTGTCTTACCCGAAAAACGGTGGGACACAGACCAACTACCATGCTTTCACTTCATGCTGCTAGTACAAATAACATGTTTTTTTTGTTTTTTTTACACTGCATGGTTCATTTTTGTACCATGGTAGCTAGTACAATGAAAACAAATTTTTTTTGGACACTACCATGGCAGAAAAATACCATGGTATTTGCACTAGTACCATGGTATTTTTGTGCCATGGTAGTGACCAAAAAAACATGATAGTACCATGGTATTTTTTTTCATTGTACTACCATAGTACATTTTTGTAAGGGATTGACATTATCCCACCCCTGCATATCTCCCTCCTCTCTCTCTCTCTCTCTCTCCCGCCCTCTCAATTCAATTCAAAGGGCTTTGTTGGCATGGGAAACAAATGTTTACATTGCCAAAGCAAGTGAAATAGATAATAAACAAAAGTGAAAGACAAAAAATGAACAGTAAGCATTACTCACAAAAGTTCCAAAGGAACATTTCAAATGTCATATTATGGCTATACACAGTGTTGTAACGATGTGCAAATAGTTAAAGTACACAAGGGAAAATAAATAAACATAAATATGGGTTGTATTTACAATGGTGTTGGTTCTTCACTGGTTGCCCTTTTCTAGTGGCAACAGGTCACACATCTTGCTGCTGTGATGGCATACTGGTATTTCACACAATAGATATGGGAGTTTATCAAAATTGGATTTGTTTCTTTGTGGGTCTGTGTAATCTGAGGGAAACATGGGTCTCTAATATGGTCATACATTTGGCAGGAGGTTAGGAAGTGCAGCTCAGTTTCCACCTCATTTTGTAGGCAGTGTGCACATAGCCTGTCTTCCCGAGAGCCAGGTCTGCCTACGGCGGCCTCTCTCAATAGCAAGGCTATGCTCACTGAGTCTGTACATAGTCAGAGCTTTCCTTAATTTTGGGTCAGTCACAGTAGTCAGGTATTCTGCCACTGTGTAGTCTCTGTTTTTTTTTGTTAATTCTTTCCAATGTTTCAAGTAATTATCTTTTTGTTTAATCATGATTAGGTTGGGTCTAATTGTGTTGCTGTCCTGGGGCTCTGTTTGTGTTTGTGAACAGAGCCCAAGGACCAGCTTGCTTAGGGGACTTGGCAGCCTGGCGGGTAGGAGTGTTGGGCCAGTAACCGAAAGGTAAAAATCCTTAGTTCTGCCCCTGAGCAAGGCAGTTAACCCACTGTTCCCCGGGAGTCGAAGACGTGGATGTCGATTAAGGCAGCCCTCCGCACCTCTCTGATTCAGAGGGGCTGGGTTAAATGCGGAAGACACATTTCAGTTGAATGCATTCAGTTGTACAACTGACTAGGTATCCCCCTTTCCCTTTGTCCAGGTTCATCTCTCTGTAGGTGATTACTTTGTTATGGAAGGTTTGGGAATCACTTCCTTTTAGGTGGCTCTTTTCTGGATTTTGATAATTAGTGGGTATCGGCCTAATTATGCTCTGCATGCATTATTTTGTGTTTTACATTGTACAGGAAGGATATTTTTTCAGAATTCTGCATGCAGTCTCAATTTGGTGTTTGTCCCATTTTGTGAATTCTTGGTTGGTGAGTGGACCCCAGATCTCACAACCATAAAGGGCAATGGGTTCTATAACTGTTTCAAGTATTTTTAGCCAGATCCTATCTTTCTTTTTCTCCCTCTCATCTCCCTCCTTCACCCTCTCTCCCTTCCTCTCTCTCTCCTCCCCCATGTATTCTCTCTTGCTCCTTCTACAATCTTGTCTCATTGCTGCAACTCCACAACGGGCTCGGGAGAGGCGAAGGTCGAGTCATACGTCCTCTAAAAAATGACCTGCAAAGCCTCGCTTCTTAACACCCGCTCGCTTAACCCAGAAGCCATCTGCACCAATGTGTCGGAGGAAACAACATTCAACTGACGACTTGAGTCAGCCTGCAGTCACCCGGCCCGCCACAAGGAGTCGCTAGAGCGCGATGAGCCAAGTAAAACCCCCCTGGCCAAACCCTCCCCTAACCCGGACGAAGCTGGGTCAATTGTGCGCCGCCCTATGGGACTCCCGGTCACGGCCGGTTGTGGGATCGAACCCCAGGCTGTAGTGACGCCGCAACACTGTGATGCAGTGCCTTAGATCCTGTCTTGGAGATCCAAGGACAATTCCTTCGACCTCATGGCTTGGTTTTCAACTCTGGGACCTTATACAGACAGGTGTGTGCCTTTCCAAATCATGTCCAATCAATTGAATTTACCACAGGTGGACTCGAATCAAGTTGTAGAAATAGCTAAATGATGATCAATGGAAACAGGATGCACCTGAGCTCAATTTCGAGTCTCATAGCAAAGGGTCTGAATACGTATGTAAATAAGGTATCTTTTTATTTTTAATGCATTTGCAACATTTTCTAAAAACCTGTTTCGCTTTGTCATTATGGGGTATTGGGTGTAGATTGATGAGGAAAACAATTCATTTAATCCATTGTAGAATATGGCTGTAACATAACAAAATGTGGAAAAAGTGAAGGGGTCTGAATACTTTCTGAATGCACTGTATACCAATATATGGTCTGAGAAAAACAACATTGGCAGGGCAATTCAAACGTAGCCAATATGCAGTGATAATGTTTTGGGACTATAGCCTACTGCACAAACATCATTGCTACAAAACTGTTTTTAATTGGTTGCTGCATAGGCTTACGTTTTTTAAATCATGATTTTGACTCAGTGCTCTTGAAGGTTGGTGACCACCGGTATAGACAGTAAGGACACTATTTAAGTAGGAAAAGGTACGTAGAGCAATATTTACAGTGCCATCAGAAAGTATTCAGATCCCTTGACTTTTCCCACATTTTTGTTGTGTTTCAGCCTGAAATTTAAATAGATTAAATTGAGGTTTTTAGTCACTGGCCTACACACAATACCCCATAATGTCAAAGTGGAATTATGTTTCTTGAAATTTTTTACAAATTAATAAGAAATTAAAAGCTGAAATGTCTTGAGTCAATAAGTACAGTCAGTGCCTTGCAAAAGTATTCATCCCCCTTGGTGTTTTTCCTATTTTGTTGCATTACAACCTGTAATTGAAATGGATTTTTATTTGGATTTCATGTAATGGACATACACAATATAGTCAAAATTGGTGAAGTGAAATGAAAAAAATAACTTGTTTCAAAAGATAAATATCGGAAAAGTGGTGCGTGCGTATGTATTCACCCCCTTTGCTATGAAGCCCCTAAATAAGATCTGGTGCAACCAATTACCTTCAGAAGTCACATAATTAGTTAAATAAAATCCACCTGTGTGCAATCTAAGTGTCACATGATCTCAGTATATATACACCTGTTCTGAAAGGCCCCAGAGTCTGCAACACCACTAAGAAAGGGGCACCACCAAGCAAGCGGCACCATGAAGACCAAAGAGCTCTCCAAACAGGTCAGGGACAAAGTTGTGGAGAAGTACAGATCAGGGTTGGGTTATAAAAAAATATCTGAAACTTTGAACATCCCACGGAGCACCATTAAATCCATTATTTAAAAGATGGAAAGAATATGGCACCACAACATACCTGCCAAGAGAGGGCAGTCCACCAAAACTCACAGACTAGGCAAGGAGGGCATTAATCAGAGAGGCAACAACGAGACCAAAGATAACCCTAAAGGAGCTGCAAAGCTCCAAGC